CCCCCCCTTTCTCTTCCGGAGAGAAGTCCACAATCAGTGCGTGTCTACGTGTATCTAACAGCGGGGAATTCCTCAGCTGTTCAGGTTGTTGTTGATTGGATGTTGAGGAGGCATCAGTGGAGTATTGATGGTCAGTTGGAATTCCATGCGCTCATTCAGAACAAGAATCGGATATAACATCATATCTACAATGTTGTAGATGTCGGTCTAGTCGTTTACAACGAGTGGGGTGATGATTAGAGTCCCACTTTCTCAATGCTTGTTGCACTGGACACAGGTCGGTTAATTGAATTCTTATTCGAGAACCAAGCTTCCTTCAGCAGCCGGCCTCCCTTTGTGGCATCACTGGACATAATACATGTCTTATCAAAGTCAAATTGATGCCCATGTTGTGCCATGTGCATCCATATTTGAGAATGTTGTTCACCCCGTCTTATGGCTAGCTTGTGCTCATGGAGCCGAGTCTTTAGCCGTTTAGCTGTTTCACCCACGTAATTGCCCTGGCAGTTTTTACAGTTGATTTTATAAATTACTGCTCATTTTTCCATAATGGGCAGTGGGTCTTTGGGGTGCATGACTTTGGACTCCAAAGTCTGATTGGGTTTGTGAGCCACTTCTATCTCATGGGGGGCCAGCAGTCTGGCCGTTGCTTCCGAGATATTACTAATGTAAGGCAGAGAGATGCGTGTTTTTTGTAAAGATGATTCATCCCTCCACTGACTTCCTCGGAAGTGGGGTGTCATGCTATGCTGTCTGATAAATCTCATAGGATATCCATTATGTTGACAGATGCGGAAGAGGTGTTTCCTCTCTTCCTTTTTAAACTCATCCATGCTGCAGTGGGAGTCCACGCACTTAAATAATGCTTTAATGCAGCTAACATTATGGGAAACTGGATGATTACTCCTATAGTGGAGGATCCTATCTGTATGGGTCAATTTACGGAACACCTTTGTATGTAACGATCCATCCAGCTGACTGTGGATCAATACATCTAGGAAGGCTAGAAAACTATGTTTCTCCTCCTCCACTGTGAATTTTATGTCATAGTAAATCGAATTCAGTATCCCCATAAATGTAGCTACATGTTGTTTTTTAACAACAGAAAATGTGTCATCCACCTACCGAACCCAAAATTTGAGTTGGTATAGGGTCATAGCCTTATGTTCAAGTTGTTGAAGCACAGCTTCAGCTATAATGCTGTAGATAGGAGAGCCCATGAGTGTCCCCTTGATCTGTTCGAAGATGGTGCCCTGGAATGTGAAATAAGTTGTTAAACATATTTCTATCAGTCTCGCGAGGTCTTCCGTCTGCAAGGAGTCCTGATGATGGCCTCCTTCCATGGCTTAGACCCGCATTTGCCACCTTGTGGATGACAGTCCCATGACGGAGGAGTTCTTAGCCAAGATTAAGATCCTCAGGGTGGAGGATGATGAGATGATGGTATCATTTGATGTTACCTCACTCTTCACCTCCATCTCTCAGGACTTAGCCATCTCAGTCCTGAGAGACCGGTTGATGAACACAGAAGGAGGCCATCATCAGGACTCCTTGCAGACAGAAGACCTCGTGAGACTGATACCATCATCTCAAGAATTTGTTCTAGAGCTCATTTCAAACAACTAGACTAGGGGTAGGCAACCTTGGCTCTTTTATGACTCGTGGACTTCAACTCCCAGAATTCCTGACACATAGGAAGTTTCATGAAGTTCCATTTGAAAGGAAACTGTTATTTGTGGAGCACCAGCTATTGAAGGCATTGAACTATTCTTTTTGACTGCAAACTGTACTCTGCAAAAAAAGAGCTATTTATTTAGATTCTTATTTAAAAACTAGAAAAGGGAGCACTGGAGAGAAACTCTTACCTTTTTCATGGAACAAACCTGCATATCACTAGGAAGAGTGCACTTTTCAAAGGCCATTTCCAAAAGGATTTAGATCACTGGAAGAGTGATGACTTACTCTGAACATGTCCTATTGTTTTCTTTACTTGTATATTTGTATTAGTTTTATACTTTTGATATGGTCAAATGACTAATTCAATAAAGTTTTTATTCTATTATTCTTTAATGATGCTACAGATGCATATTGTAACGAGAGAGAGAGAGAGAGAGAGAGAGAGAGAGAGAGAGAGAGAGAGAGAGAGAGAGAGAGAGAGAGAGAGAGAGAGAGAGAGAGAGAGAAATGAAAAATAATTTGTCCACAACTTGTAAACTCTAGGAAGATTGCCTAATATTCTAGCTAGCCAAATCCCTTAGTTGGACATTTCTTATGAGCTTCCTTCTAGCTGAACATTCCCCTATTGATTATTCCATAGCTTGTGTCTGGGGAAGAGAAAAGCTTGTGGAATGCTGGAATACTTGCTTTTTGTTCAGACAGTTTCTTGTATTTTGAAAAAAAGCTGGATAAGTCTTAAGGTTCATTTGCTTCCCACTTTGAAACTTACTAAGAAATGAGCTAGATCTATAATGAGTAGATCAGACTTTTCCATCTTGTTTTTATTTTGTCCTGTCCAAGTTGGTTTGGCAGGAAAGACTTATGTGGGAGAGAAGTAATTAGCAGGCCAGGTGAAATATGCAGGAGTGAACCTGCCCATCCCTGCTTAAACACAGTTTCACTCCAGATATTTAGGGAAGGATAACCTACATAATCTTCTTCGCATTACTAAGTTCAACAGCTACAATTGTTTAAGCTATCATACCATAAACATTGTGCTTCAGCTATGTATGATCTCTGTATACAAAGGCATAATCAGAAATAAAACAAATAAAACAAGACAAACTTTATTAAATTAGTATGCTAAACCATTATATTAAATGCACAAGTCAATGATGCTTATATGTTTTCTCCAAACTAAAACATAATGACATGACATACAGTCCAGGATCCAATAACAATATAAGACTGTCAATAATGCTTGTCTACTCCCTCAAACTCTTCAAGGATTCTTAGGGAATAGAAGATGAAAAAAAGAGACAACATTGATTATATTTCTCATTTTAAACGAACTGGTAATTGATCCTAAATACCCAGGTCTCTTATTATTAAGCATTACTAGATTGTACTATTATATAATAATCATACTACTATTCAGTAACTTTCTGCTTACCTATGTTGGTGTCAGTACTTCCAAAATTCTAGTAAAATGCAACAATGCTTTACCCTTTGTTTCATTTACATTCAACTGTTAGTTATTTTGAATAACTTTTGTTATATATTACCTCCTGTAACAGCAAGCATGCAATGTATGCCAGACCAAAAGCTATTTTGACCCTGGTTGCTGAGTAAGCATTTTCTTTTTCTCAGTATTTTTTCAGATGTCTGTGGATTCTGCTTTGTAAGCAAACTTATATTGTTTGACTCATATAATCCAGTACTCTTACCTATCCCTGCTGCCCCTCAGAGTCCTCTCCAAGGCTGACATTATCCCATAGAAGGGGAATTAGGGATAACAGACAAATTACAAGAAAATATTTATTGTTACTTCACCACAGAAGGAGTGAACTGAGTTAAAGCTTCAGGAAGAGGAAGCCAAGGGTAGACTTCACTTCATTCATTCACTTCATTCTGATATTGATATTGTTTGCTTGTTTGCTTGCTTTCCTATAGGTTGAGAGAGCTCTTGGTTGTGTGGATTTCCACTGAAATACCTGACTCCTACTTGGAGCCATCTTACCCTTCCTTCTTCTGTTTGGTTCTTCTCCATTTTTTTTAAAGATTTTTTTTAATGTAATTTTTATAAATAATTCAGGATGGTGACATAATTCCTTGCTCCTCCTATTTTGTCCACTAGAAAAAGTTGGGCTGAGAGTTAGTGACTGGCCTAAGGTCAGCCAGCTTGTTTTCATGCCTAAGGCAGGACTAGAATTCAGAGTTTCCTGGTTTCTAGCCTGGTGCCTTAAGCACTAGACCAAATTTGCTACTTTTAGTTCATCCTCTAATACAATTATCTTAGAGAAAGTTTCACCTAGAATTCTTGTTTTAGGGAAACCTACAAATGACAACAAAGAAGGGTTTATCATAGATAAATGGGATATTGACACCCGGGATCCTCTCTGAAAACCTGAGACACCAACATGTCCTAGTGTTGATTATGCATAGCCCAATGTGATTGTTTCTTCTCATAACTGTTGGAGGTTAAGCATTCTGTGTGGGAGTTCACAAAATTTGGAATTGTCCTGAACAATGATTTGTAAAGTACGTTTTATAATAAGAGTTTAAGGACACTTATTTACAGTGAATGAATGATAGGTATATGTAAAGCTAGTGTCTACTAACTATATCTTGCTAGGAAGAACGTCTAAGGGCATGTGCTCATGGTTTGTGGGAAGAATGGCAAAAGGAAGTGACTTTGGATAAGTATAAGATTATAATGGAATGTGGAATGATCTTGGGAGTCAGAAAAAAGAACTGCAGACTAGGCAACAATCACATAAAAGGTATCTCAGTCCACAGAAGGAAAAGGGGTATGCAGTGTCTCAGAAGGGACCCTCTCTAGTTTTCTGGAGAGTAAAAGTAAGATTTTTTTTCAGACTTGCAAGATTCTGTTGCTGTAATCTTACAATAGTGTTAGTACTCATAGTTTGTGCTTCTAACTTGAAGGGCTGACAAAAACAAAAAGCAGGCAGAGTGATAGACAACTCTTTATGTTGACTTTATTTCCCTCTTGTGGTCAGAACCTCACAACAGCTATGTATTAGGTTATGTCGTTGATTTGTACCATCAACACTCTGAGAGGATGGTCTCTTTATGACAACTTTCAATTTTGTTCTCTTATTGGGAAGAAAATGTAAATGTCTTATTAGCAGAGCCAGAGGCTGCCATATTAATTTCTGAGATATGCTATCTCCTGTGTCCCTTTCAGTTTACTCTGTAAAAATTACGAACATATTGCTTTGCTTCAAAACTTTGCTTGAAGGGCTTCTACCCAGGAAATAAATAGATACCACAGTGTCAAAGTAGATTATAATTTTCTGTAAAATAAAATAGGATACAACACACAGAGTTTATATAATTTATTAATAGAATTTTGTCTTCAATCTGAGAAAGGCTTTTCTGACTGAAAGAAGGACACAAATAGTCACTTTATAGAGACAACACAAAGTTAGACCCTGGCTAGTCAAAATACGTATATGAAGAAAGTGTGTGAATTGTTCAGTGAAACTAGGATGTGACCTGGTATGTCTAGGCACCTTTCAAGCTGAATTGCCTGCTTATTAGTAAGAGGTGCATAAAACAGGTGTTGGGAAGGACTTTACATGTCATCTTGGTCAACTCATTGCTCACTGCTAAAGCATGCTGTATAAATGGCATTCTAACCTCCAGTGAAGGGGAATGCATCATTGTATGAAGCAATCTCCTCCATTGGTTGACTGCTCTTACTGCAGCTTTCATTCATTAAGCATATTTTTTTAGATTTTTTAATCTCCCTTTTATTATTTTTATGAATAACTCATGGTAGTAAACATATCTAACACTTTTCTTCTATTTTTCCCCACAACAACCCTGTGAGATGAGTTAGGCTGACACAAAGTAACTGACCAAAGTCATCCAACCAGATTTCATGCCTAAATTAGAAGTCACGGTCCTCTATTAATAGAGTTATTCTAGAAGTCACTGTCCTCTATTAATAGACTTATTCTGACCATTCGTTAATAAAGGTTTTCTGGAATCCTGAACAAAATTCCGAAACAGTAATGTTCTGATTTTTTTGCTTCCCACTCCAAATATCCTGCTCTTTTGAGTTTATCTTAACGTTATAATATTGTTTTAAATTATTGTGACATTCTCTTTTGGCTATTTCTTGAAGGAATTAAAAAAAAAGAATGGATGAAAAATTAAAGTAAAATTGAGATGCAGGTCTAAAAGCTTGAGCATGTTGAAAGATATGATCCTGTACCTTTCTGAAAAGGACTAATATATCTGGGCTGCAAAAATCTGGTCAATCACTAAATGGCAATAAGGAAAGTTTTCTTTCAACTGCCATCTAGTAGTCATCATTTTAAACCCCATTCATAGTAGCCCTGCATCTGAATAAAAAATAGGAGATGAAAAAAATAATTGTTAAATGACAGTTGCTCAATTATCCTCATTGTTTCCCCAGCAGTGCTAAATGTGCAGTTTTGGTATGACTATGCCTCAAATTGATTTCATTATTTGGGCTGCAAAACACTCCAATAAGATGATTAGAAAAAATAACCCTGGAATCTGCAGTTAGAAATACATTTGCATAACAGGAATTTTAATACCCAGTATTTTTTTAAAAAAAGGAAATTGGTAGCATTTCCTTTGGTTAGGCATGAATATTATATTTAAGAAGATATAAAAAAGTATATTTTTAAAATACATATCCTATTTTTCTGTTAAAATGTGTTTAGGATAAATTTTTAATCTTAATGTACATTTTCTTAATGATCTTACTTAAATAATTTCTTAAATACCTGCATAATAGCTTTTTAAGATTTCTTTTATAAAGCTGAAACTAGAGACTGTGAATAATCTCAGATTTGCCTCAGAATTTTCATTTAGGTAATTATTAAGGGGAAAGTAAAGGTCGGCAGAAGTATTACTGTACAGTCTCCTATATTTTTTTAAAAAAACCACTTTTTCAAAACAATTCATATTTTTAATTCTTTGCATTTGATTCCTCCCATAGCAAGTATAGGATCTGATATCCTTATTGAACTCAGCTTAATTCATCAGCCTTAGGTAGTCCAGCCAATGACAGAGAAGCTGCAATCTTCCAAACTACAATTTCATAGTTACTCTGTTTGAGGGACTGAAAGAGCTGGACCTTTTGGGTCATCAAATCTACTGTTGGTGGTAAGATTCATAATCATGTGGATTCCATAAGTAAGGATCAATAATAAAATTAGGGAGGTGACCAGACCCATCCAAATTCCAGGTGTAAAAAATGATGTGCAGTCGCTCGCGTAGGAAAACATGTTGTTTTCAATATTGAAAGCTTGGATCTGCAAAAGAAAAAGAAAAAAGACCCATCCAAATATTGGGTTCAACATGTTGCATTTCTATTTAATGGAGATCTCAAAGCAACTAAAAAAAATACAAATTGAAATACAATTTAAAAGTGAAAGATTAAAATGAATTAGTACTTAGAAGATGGTGTTTTTGCTGTCCTTCCAAATACAACCTGAACAGCTTTCTTCCACATGTAAGATAGTTGAGTCTTTGATAGTAGGAAATTATCAAAAGGGCCATTTCTACAAATATTCATTTACAACCAGACTCATAGCAGGGGAAAGAACCCATCTCTTGGACTCTAAGTTCTTTAGGCTTTTAAAGGATAACACCAACACATTTAATTGTATTTAGTAAATTCGTAACCAGCACAGCTCTTTCCTTCCTTGTATCTTGTACTGGTTAACAGCACAAGATAACCCCATAATGATGACATGCAGCCATTAAATGACTGGATCTCTGGTGCAAGAACATAAGTCAGAGCAATTCTCAACATAAAACACTTTTCATTAGTCAAGATGTGATATAACTAATTGAAACATGCCCAGATTATTGATATCGTGCAGATACATCTGAAGTCAGTCATGTTTCCCAGAAATGGAATTTTTGAGATTGGGTTATAAATGCACATAGTTTCTAGCTCAAGGGAAGGTTGCTTTAGTACAGGTCATTTAGGCAGTGAGTGTGTATGGGTGTGTACAGTATGTGTGAAGGAAGCTCTGATCACTTTTTTTAAACCATGAAGACAGCCTGGTCTGGCATTTTAATGAGAACTGAGTAAATAAATGGTAGTCCTCATTTTGCTTGTCTACAGCATGATATGCAAGCTGAAAAGCATAATAATAATGCTTATTTGATAAAAACGGAATCAGTCATTGAATTCCAACTCTGGGAACGTAAATGAAGCAAAGAAGGCTTACTTTGCTATTTCTGTTGCATTTGCACAGCATAAGTCATTAATGCTTTTCTAGATCATGTGTATGCTCTCTTTGAAAGTGCTATGCAGAGAAAATGGGATATTCAAAGGCTCATTTTGGACAATTTTCATTGTTATTTGGAGAAAGAGTGATCAAAATTGCCACAATGTGGATTTCAGAGAGACAAGAAGGTGATCTTGGCAATTGTTCATTCAATTCATTGTTTTTATCTTGTAGATCTTAAGGATGTGGACAGTTATGTAGAGACATGAGAATTCCTTTGCTTAATCCTTACCACTCTTGCCTGATGAAATCAGCAGGTGGGACTGTCCCCTTGATAATAATTGATATTTCTTTGAGTGATTGTCCAACATTGGAACTAGATGGGGGGGAGTAACCCTAATAATTCTCTGGTCTCTTTGAGCTTTTGATACTACTGATATATTTTAGGATACCTGCTAGAGGTGGGCCTTGATGGCAGAATTTTGCAGTAGCTTCAGCTCTTCCTACTGGGATGTGTCCAGAAATAAGTGCTAGAGAGGATATTATTCAACATGCAGGTTATTATTTTGTTGTGTCCCATAGGATTTTATTTTATCACCTGTGCTGCTTAGTATCTATGTATATTTGAGGAAGGCAATTTGGACCTATGGATTGAAATGCCATTAAACGTTCCCATCACAATTCTTGATTCAATTTTCATTCATATAGAATAAGATAGGATTCTTATTTTGGCTCAACAACCTTATTGTCATGATGTGGCATGTTTTGTTCCTGCTGCTGCATTGGAGCCAAGTAGGATGACAGTTTTGGAAAAGGAGTCTATGTATGTATTTAGGCATGGAGGAAATGTAAGCTGGAAATCATCAGTTAGCTTCTGCTAACCAATCCCCCCTCCCTCTCCCTCTCCCTCTCCCTCTCCCCCCCCCTCTCTCTCTCTCTCACACACACAACACCCACACACACACCAAAGGAAAAGGAAGAGAATCTTTCGCTAGAGAAAGAATATGATTTCAATGAAAAAAAAGAAAGCTCATCTGTATCCTTTTAGTTCACACAGACCAGTGAATGGGAATTAAATAAAACATACTAGATGCTGTGCTTGGAGTTAAAAGTGCATGCAACATATTAAAGGCTTTGATGTTAGTAAGCACTTTATCCAAAGATGACTGAATGGGCTACCTTTAAAGATATTGCTGCACTATTAATCTTGTCAACAATTGCAACAACAACAAAAACTTTCTGGTTTGTTTTTGAGTCTTACTCAGTGTGGAAGCTTCATTACCTTAACATCTCTGGTCTGGCTTTAACAGTGCCTTCTTTGATATCTGCCCTCAGCTACCTTTTTTCTCAAGCTTTGCCATCACTTTGAGATATATTCTTTTTTTAAAAAAGACATTTTATTGGTTTTTTTTTAAAATTCTTAAGCAAAAAGTATTCAGGACCCACCGTGATGGTTGGGTGGTCAAACATTCAAAAGTAAAAATATATATAAACTACACAACTCAATAAATTTCACTATCCCCTCTCTATTCCCCTCAATTAACATAATACATTTAAATATTCCATTTCTATTTTAAATTTCTATCACTATTAAACCTGTATTATAACTTTATCCATTTACAATTACAATAGTTTAAATTTAAAACAAAAAATTATCAATTCTAATTCTTAATCTCTCACATCCCTCATTTTATACCAAACTCATTTATTTCTTCTTCCACTACACAACAGATATCTTAATAGCAATAAAATATTGATCAGCCCTATATATATGTAATCCCAAAGTCAATCCTTCTCCTTAAAATAACAAAATAATATTAAACCTTAATTCATTCATATTCATTAAACAAAGTTCAAATTTTCACTTTGAGATATATTCTAACAAGAAGGTAAAGATGAAACTCCCTGCAGTTTATTGATGGGCAAACTTGGAAAAAAAAACCATTTTCTTTTTTTTTTAATATCTTTCGATCAAAATCTTTAGACAGAGTTTCCAGGTCTAAAATTCGTCTCATATGTGACCATTATGACATAGGTACCTTCTCTTCAGTTGAATTTCCCTCCCCCCCCCATCTTAATTTAATTCCTACATCAGTTTAGTCATTTCATGTTTCTGAAGAAGTTAACTGTAATTTATGAAAACTTATGCTCTTCAATTAAATTTATTTTGAAAACATCCTATCAGCTTTGATTATTGGCTATCGTAGAGTAACACAACTCTCCTCCTACAATGTCTACAGCTGGGAAAGAAAACAAAAGTCAAGTCAAACTCAACCTTCTGGAGATGTAATGGACATGCCTTGTCTTTTTTTTACCATTTTCCCCATAATTTTGCCTAGCCTAATTATCTACCATCACTAGGATTTCTCACATTACCAAAAATAATAGAAATGGATGCAACATCAACTTTTAGTATGCAGTATGGGCCCTAGCCATTTAAATGTGTATGCGTGTGTGCATCTGTGTGCAATTTTGACCAAGTATGCCAGGAAGGAGAGGTTTTTCTCTGTGTGGGATATGTTCCGATAAAACCTAATGTTCCCTTTTATCACTTGCAATTAAATGGGAAAATATGTAGTTGCAATTCTATGTAGCACACAAATAACTAGTCTGGCATTAACAGGAGCTTGACATTCCAGTTAGTTGTACTTTCTGATGGGAGGGGAAATACACTTTTATTGTACGTATTTCATATACCTCTTTTACAATTGCTACTCTTAATATTTCAATTATTGCAGACTGGGGTATATGGGACTCCAATTTCCCTTCTTTTGGCCTTTGAAGTCCTACAGCAGTGGTGGCGAACCTATGGCACAAGTGTTAGAGGCAGCACTCGGAGCCCTCTCTGTGGGCACATGTGCTGTTGTCCCAGCCCTGCCTCCCCCCACGGCCCCCTCCATAGCAGTAGCCCCCCCAGAGGAGAGTCGCCCCTAGATACGACCACCTGGAGCAGCACAGCCAAAGACATGGCAGCCAGGCAGTGAGGACAAGACTCTGCCCTTGTGCCCTGTCACAAACAGATGATGCTGCTGGGCATGGGTGGAGGGCGTTGCTGCCATGACGCTACTGGGCCACCTGCGCGATCTGCGGCAGGCCGTGTAGGTGGCAGGTGGCCCAGCGGGTGGGTGGGGGTGGGGCAGGGATGGAGTGGTGTGGTGTGGGGGTGGGGCAGTTTTGGGGCACTTGGTGTCTAAAAGGTTCGCCATTACTGTCCTATAGTATATAACCATTATGGTTGAAAGTAGATTTTACAGTTTCCATCTGACTTATAGCACAGACCAAATTTATACACTGTTTTCTGTGCTGGCATTGCTGGGTGCCAGCTAACATAGCAAACTGGATGCCTGACACAGTCCAGTGTTATGCAAGCTCAGGCAGAACTTTTAGAAGCAGAGAGTCCTTTTCACTGCACCTCAAGATGGCAACTGAAATATGGTCAAAGGCTTGGCAAGGTCATGACCAGGAATCCAATGAAAAAGGGACAAATCCAAAAAAAAAGGCAAGAGGCTAAGTGAAGTAGAATCCAGAGTTCATAGCAAGGTAAACACAGAAAGTTGCTCTCAACATGTTCTCTCAGGGAGTGAGGACAATCAATAAGCCAACTTGAATTTCCACACAATACATAATTGTGGAAGTTCTTCAGCATTAACTCTTCTGTTGGCTTGCTTCTTGGCAAGTCGCTCACTCTATGGAGTTCTGATCTCTGGTTTGGCTGGACCAAATCTGAGAGGCTATCAATAAATGCAGGCAAGGAGCCCTGGAAATTTGCTGGGACTATCTCACTGAAAGAGGAATAATTAGTTCCACCACTACTGGAAAAATCACAACCAAGATTATTGTCTCTAAGTGCCTTTGCCTCTCCATCCTCCTTATCAACCAGGCCATGACAATATATCTCAAATATAGATGTCAACACTGTGACAATGGATGTTCCCGCTCTGACAACTAAGGGAAATTGCAACCATTTTTACTCTGCTTTCAGCATGCTTTTACTGCTGTTTAGAAATCAGATGTAGAAGGGGGGATGGGGTGAATGCTTGAGCTCAGCTAGCCACAATAATAATACAACTCTGTGGGAATTCAAGGACACAAACTGATAACGTTTTGGCAGGGCTGAGGAGCTGGAGAAGGAGCCCTTGCTTCAGGCTAATTGGAGAATATGATTTATGACTGCTTCCAGGGGATGGGAATTGCAACTTGTTACTTTGTATCTGGGGGAAGGGAATTTAGTTTTGGGTTCAACTTTGTAGTGCTGACACTTTGTTTCTTGAATAAAATGTTCTTTAAGGAAGAATTCTTGTCTTAAAGTTCTTTAATGGGATTCATCTATCAGAACAATGACAATAACAGCTTAAAAATGAAAGCCTTCAAATTCCATCCTCCTTCAAAATACTTAGCCCTGCACTCTTTGTGTCCCTTACTTCTCCAATTTCCTTGAGAACTGCAGCCTTGGATATGAAATAAATTCTCATCCTTGCCTTACTGGATAAGCCACCATAGACCAAATATGAGCGAGGTATTGAACATTGTTTTGTTTTTTAAAACTTTCACTTAAGCCTGAAGAAAATGTATAGATAGTATTAAGTTTCAGTCCTTCAAACCCCAAGTTACAGCTCTTGATATTGTATCTTAAATAATGATAGGTACTCACTTGGAAATCAGAAATATCAACTTTCCATTTTTTAGCTTTATCATTGGCTGGAATTAGTGTTACACCATAGTGGCTGTCCGTGCCCACCAAGGAGCAATGAAATGAGTACTCCGCAGGACCATAAATAGTAGAGACATTAAATTTAGCAAGTTCATCTTCAGCATCCCTGTCATCTTGCAGAATATGAACAAAATCTAAAGTGAACCAATTCTTTGAAGAGCTAGTATAGAAGATGTTGGTCATCAAGAATCTAGAGAGGAACAAAACATGACAAGGAGTCATTCTGAGATCATCATAAAAGAAGAATCAAAGGCATCCGCAAAATAAGATTAGATGGATACACCTGAAACATTTGAATATAGAAACATTCTGCTCAGGTGGACAACTACAGTTACACCTCAGGGACGAAAGGTAAGGCCATATATTCAAAGAAGGTATCAAATGACACACACATACACAGAGAAGAAAATGGTATGTGATGAGAGAAATAATAATAATAATAGAGTTGGAAGGGACCTTGGAGGTCATCTAGTCCAACCCCCTGCTCAGGCAGAAAAACCTATATCATTTCGGACAAACGGCTGTCCAGTCTCTTCTTAAAAACTTCCAGTGTTGGAGCATTCACTGCTTCTGGAGGCAGGTTGTTCCACTGATTAATTGTTCTAACTGTCAGGAAGTTTCTCCATAGTTCTAGGTTGCTTCTCTCCTTGATTAGTTTCCATCTGTTGCTTCTTGTCCTGCCTTCAGGCACTTTGGAGAATAGCTTGACTCCCTCTTCTTTGTGGCAGCCCCTGAGATATTGGAACACTGCTATCATGTCCCCCCTCGTCCTTCTCTTTGTTAAACTATACATACCCAATTCCAGCAACGGTTCCTTATATGTTTTAGCCTCCAGTCCCCTAATCATGTTTGTTGTTGTTCTCTGTACTCTTTCTAGAGTCTCAACATCTTTTTTACATTGTGGCAACCAAAACTGGATGCAGTATTCCAAGTGTGGCCTTTTAATCTTTTAGTCTTATTATTTAAACAGTATGTCCAACAGCCATCTGATATTTCATTGTTTTATTTTGTTTTACTTTTTAAGAAAGTCTAAGAAAAAGTGCTTACTCCCTAGTAAACCATGTGGATGAGAAAAGGAAGAAGCACAAGGTCTCAAAGTGTCTAATAGCACCACTGATAGTGACAAACAGATTCTAAGGATTTTTTGTTCTTTTAAAAATATACTCACATAAAAATTATAGATATTTGGATTTGGCTAATTTTCTGAATGAGGTGAGAGCAATCCCCAAAAGAGGCATGCTTATTTTCTTTGGGGGGGAGAGGAAGAAGAGGCTTTTATTACCTAGAAAAAGGGATGTCTAGATGAACATTGCTACATTTATTGAAAGACAAAAATATGTACATGTGAGTGTGGCACCAGGATATCTCTGAATATGTTTCTTTATATCAAGAATTGGATCACAAAAACAGTGTGGGAAATTAGCTTCTTTCATAGACTTTAGGGTACCTTGGAGATTAATTAATAAAGGATATTGCTAGGCTATTGTAATCTGTCCACGAATACCAAGATGTTAGCACTGATTTTAGTTTTCTCATTTTTTTTGTTGTCCTAGCTTATGTTCACTAGAATAGCCAGTTCAACCTCAATCTCAGCTTTTACCTTTGTTTTCATCAGTGATTGGGATAAGAGAAAAAGACAAGATTCAAGTGTTACTCCCCAGCATTTCCAGTTCAAAAAATTAAGAAGACAGATGAAAGAAGTCTCCAGTTGAGTCTAAGGCTACCAAATTTGAACTGCAAAAGTTTAGTTGATTAAGGCAGTTCTTCAGAGCATTGATTTTTCCTGCTTAGATATGGTAAATCTATTTCCTAACCTGAAATCCTGAAAGTTATTGCTATTTAGAGAAATAGCATTAGAGTGAATGTCTAGTGTGTGCTGCTTTAGGGCCGTTTCTTATATTTGTAGAAGTATGAATTACGTTTTACAGCTCAACTATTGCAACATTTACCTTCTTCTGAGTTTTAGAATATTTGTCTGTTGGAGTTGGAAGCCCATATAATAATTTAAGAAATAATTTAAATATGGAAGAGATTGGCTTGTATAAGTGTGGCTAATCAGGAGGATTTCTACAATAGCTGCAAGGTAAACATGGAGTTACTATCAATATTAATGTTGTAGTGTGGTCTGCTTGCAGCTCACAATTTTTATTATAACTTAACATTTTCATATGAAGTATTTTTTTTTTCTTAAAAAAAAATCAGACTTCTTGAATTCTATATCATTTGCAAGTGTTTCATTAGCTAGTCTGCCAGGGGCTGTTCTAGTGGAAAATTTTACTGAGTTGAAATCCATGAGTCATAAAAGAGCCAAGGTTGCCTACCCCTGCTCTAAAGTGTTGAGATATTGGTATTCAGTGAACTTGTTTTTCTTCTTGCAACTATTACTTTATCAAACCAGGTAACTTCAGCAGTTTTTTGATATAAAGGAGAAGGATTTGTTGGGTTTTGTCTTGGTTTTGTGTGGGTTGCTGTGATTTGTACACTTGTTTGTTTGGCTATCTGACTTGGTTGACCAGCAATCAACAGGTAGATAAATGAGAACCTACATGATAGCTAGGAACAATCTAAGATGAAATAATGTAGCCACACAATAATATAGATGTATCAGTAAAGACACATTTAATAATACATCACTACATAATGGGAAATAATATGAAAAGAGTAAATGAGGCATGCAGAGCTGTAGGATGGAGAAGCGAGTCAGTAGATTTAAATGGCAAAATCTGAAAATGTTGGATAAACTTGAAGCATCTCCATAATATTCCCTTTATTTCAAGAAAAAATGGAGCAATACTTTTTAGATAGCCAAAAAGATGGAAAGAAGAAATTAAAATCTAGCAAAACATGCAGGAACATTTTGGAAGTTGAAGCCCAGAAATCTTAAAGTTGCTAAGACTGAGAAATACTACTCTAAATTATTTTCTTTTTTTGAAGGGGGAGGATCAGTTCACTTTGTAATTGCTTCCAAAATAAATGAGAGAGACAGTAATAAGGTGATACATATGCCCATCTGGATTTTGTTGCTTTACTGTTCTAATAATATACATTCATTCATAATGCATCTATTGAGATGTGACATCGTCTCAGTGATGCATAATATATGATTCAAAGAAAGGAGATAGAAGCTAACAGCCTGGACTGAGAAACAAAATTGCTCCTCTAACAGGAGAAAAATGCCTACTGCTGACCTAGCAAAACTTCAGGACTTTTTTTTTCTTTTTGAACTGGTGACCTATCATTCCATGTTCCCTAAACATTCCAGAAAATAATTTTGCTTTCAAAAGTAATCTGCTGTTACCTTTAGTGCAAAGGGGGAAAAAATCCATATTAAAAAAAACCCCAAACCCTGCAGGCTTAAGGAATACATGAATCTTATTTGCAATGTGATTCTCTTGTTTTACTTCCAAACTACCTTATTTCCAGGATTTTGATTCCAATCTTTTCATTCTCCAGGTTGGTGTATTTTAATGACAACCTAATAGAAAGAAAAAAAAATGAAACAGTTTATTTTCAAATACTGGATAACGAGCCAGTAAATATAGGGAAATACTACACAGAGATGTATTTTAGTAGTAGTATATATAGTGAATATATACCGTACTATATACTGATAGTAAATATAGGAAAATAATACATAGAAGCTTCCAAATAGGAAAATCTCTTCTTTCCTTGGCAAACAAAAGTGGAAAAGCTATCAATTGAACTGGATTCTACAACGATACTTAAGAATTCATTTGACTATAAGTATGCCAAAGGCTTCCTGGAATGAGATTGTACAATTAAAGAATTGTCTCATAGAATGAGAATAAAGAATAAAAATTACAGCATGGCAGAGTGTACATGGAGAAGTATCATACATAACTGTTTTCGAAATGAAAGAAAGGAATATAAAAGAAGACCTGGTCATATGGTTTATATTTTAACTTGTATATAAGTAAAAAAAAAAGTGTTTCCCACAATTAGGCATTTTTCAGCCATCAGGCCTTCACTAACAGCAGATTAGCTGAGTTTGTAGTTCTATAAAAAAGGAGTGTTGGTCCATAAGCTTGTGCATATCTGCTCAAAATTGTTTCCCAGATGTAATAGTTCAGCAGAAAACATGCATAGGTGCAGAAGTTTCCAGGTTTCACAAAATGTTGAAAGCAGTACTGTCCAGCTTCTTTCAAGCATGCATGTAAAAAGAATTTTAGATTGGATATATAACTTTTGTCAACTGTTCCTTCTTGACTACAACTGTAGAGATGCTGCTGTAGAAAATGCCTTCAGGTAAATGTCTATAGGATTGTATCCATAGTAAGTGACAAAATAAAGTGAATGTAAAAATGATCAAAGCCTGGGATTGTAAGAAAATTTAAATGCAAAAAGCACAAAAAAGAACTGCACAATTTCATAATTACCTTGTTAATACAGTCAATCTTAATCTGAACTCTTATGGATTTTTGTATTTTAGCTATGTTATCTGTGATTAAAAGAGTGATAACCTGCTTGCTTAATTTACTATTAAAGAGGATTGGTGCTGAAATAATATTTTAATCCTGCTCACGTTGCATTGGTGTCTGAACAAACAGATGAAGTAGTGTCCACAGCATGAAACAGAAATGTCGAATTCGTTAGATTCATGTGAATAGTGGCGTTGACTGTAAGAGTGAAATTAGTTGCATAAAAAAGGATGCACGTGGTGTTGGTCCCATTGGTAACATTCAGGGGGGGATATAAGTCAATTGCTTCACTTTCAACAGACATTAATTGTCGCTCACTATGCCGCATTATATCATGTCTCACAAGTACCTGGAAGAGAAAACATATGAAACATGTGATTTTTTTCAGCAGAAAACAAAACCTGGAGATCAAATGCCATCCTTAGCCTCATTATCTATAACAACAATCCAGAAATTTTAAGAATGGACAAGCATATTAGTGAATGTTGCTTGCTGACACTCCCTATTAATCAGAATGATTTATGACATTATCATGGAAATAACACAAATTATGATGCATATGAAGTCATTTATTCCCCTACCTCCTGGATGCCCAGATGCCAGGAGGGTCTCCCTGCACACTAGGCTAGGGGCACTCCTAAGAAGTCTTCTCCTGCAATCATAAGCAACAAAAAATGTCCCTGCATTTTGATTCTGAACATTGGCTTCTTTGGAAGACTTTTATCTTTACAGAAAACAAAAGTTTGAGTTAATGGACTGCCACAGGTGTTGGGAAAAATCACGAAAATTGGCATACCTTCCTCTACCCAAGCTAGAAACAGAAGAATGTGGCTTAGGTGAACCAGCATCAACACTGCATCAAGCCGATTAGCCGGAAAGGGTAATAGAGAGAAAGAAAACAAACTGTAAAATTGCTCAAGATCTTTGTGTGGGAAATGAAAACTGTACTGGATAATAGTAACAGAGACCTAAAGAGAGCAACAGCAAATAACCATAGCACTTAGACTTATATATCATTTCATAGTGCTTTTCAATCCTTTCTAAGTGGTTTACAGAATCAGCGTATAACCCCCAACAATCTGGATCTTCATTTTACCAACCTTGGAAAGATGGAAGGCTGAGCCGGTCAGAATCAAACTCCTGGCAGTGAACAGAGTTAGCCTGCAATATTGTAGTCTAACTATTGCACCACCATGGCTCTTAATAAGAGAGAGCAGTAGTGCAGCATCTTCAGTTATGTTATTGATCTATGTTGCTCTTGGAAAATTAATTCTTGTATGGATACACCAAGAACTAAAACACAACTGTTTAGCTCCCCTCACTCAGGAAGTTCTTTTCATCTTCATATAATTTAACAAAATATCATTAATCCAATCAGCCAACCAATAATATGGCATGGGCATCATCACAAGACTTCATACCGTTTTGGAAAGCTAATTCCAGCAAAACAGTGCTAGAATAGAAATTGAGTTCAGTCTTTGCAGCTTAAGGTTATAATACCTTGCTCTAGCACTCAAAGTTCTGCTTCAATTTTTCTCTGCTTCAGTTCTGTGGCTGGCAGTATATATCATGATTAGCCACTCTAGAAGATGGATGTTAATTTAGAATGATAAGTAAAACCAATGATTAACAGTGAATTATAAACTAGGCTATTGTGGCTCATTAAAAATCTTTGGACACATCACAATATGTGAATACAGCCTGTATACTATTGAATATTTAAGGTATTCCCTGAATCACTCAAACCACACTACAGCAGGTAATTCTGAAGTAATGCTTCCTTCCCCCTCTTTTGGGGAAAGCCTTATTTTTTTAATAGGGGGAGTTAATTGCTTGATCAAAATTGCATGGGGGGGGGAGCAAGGACATGTTTCAAGCCCTGTTCCACACACACCCAGTATTACTTTTACTCGTTTGCTTGAAGATCTTTAGAAATTCTTCTACTTCCAATGGCAGTGACTACAGGTAGTCCTCAACCTAGAACAGTTTGTTTAGTGACCATTCAAAGTTACAATGGCACTGAAAAAAGTGACTTATGACCGTTTTTCACACTTAAGACCGTTGCAGCAATCATCATAGTCACATGATCAAAATTCAGGAGCTTGGCAACTGACTCATATTTATGATGGTTGCAGTGCTCTGGGATACTGTGATAGCCTTTTGCAACCCTCTGACCAGCAAAATCAATGGGGAAGCCAGATCCTCTTAACAACCATGTCACTGATTTCATCGCTGCAATGATTCATTTAACAACTGTGGCAAGCAAGATCATAAAAAGGGGCAAAATTCACTTAATAAATTTCTCACTTAACAACAAAAAATCCTGGTTGTGAGTTGAGGAATACCTGTACTTTAGCTGATAACAAAGAGGAGAGGAGAGGAGAAGAGAAGAGAAGAGAGGAGAGGAGAGGAGAGGAGAGGAGAGGAGAGGAGAGGAGAGGAGAGGAGAAGAAGTTGGATTGGATTTACCAATGCATGAGGAAATCCCAGAGCTGCAGGCTAGATGAGAAACTGAAAAACCTTCCAGAAATAAGGTTGTGGCACATACCATTTCCAGGTTGCCAAGAAAACCATAGAAGTTATGACACTTCTATGTCATAACCAGGAACTGAGTTTTCCTGTTCTTGGGTTGGCTCTCTGTTTCAGTTTAATTAGAATTATTATTCAATATTTGACTTTCAACTACTTCAAGCAACATCCAGTAATTGTCTCCAATAGAAACCTACTTCAAAAGTATTGGAAGTTAGGAAACAAAGCCTGCTATGTTTCTCCTACAAGGTCATTAGCAGCTCTTTCCCAAGACATGTATGATAAGATGCTTTGACCATATTGATATTGGTTCTCAAAGCCCGGAGATTTCCTATATGGAGAACATTATTTCACAAAGTTAGACATTCCTAAATCAACACTTAAGTAGTATTGATTATTTCTCATCTTCTTTAACACTGTGTTTATGAACAGCAATTTTCAGTTTACAAAAATGAAACAAACAGAGAAGACCAAAGCATGGTGTAAAGTAATCAAATCTTAATCTTCTTTCCGTGCTATTTGATTTCTCAGGGATAAACACAGCTTCTCAAGCAAACCTTTGATTAATGAGAAATGTTGATAGAAATCCTGAACAGAAAAGGTTCAAGCCCCATTGAAGTGAATTGAATGTGTGCATAATTATGGCCTTTGGACTACAACTTTTATGTTTTCACCAACAAAAAGAGAAGCCAGATTTGCATAAATTGGGTCATTGTTATGCTGGCTTTTTATGACAGCAGGATTATCAAAAAGTGTTATTGGAAGCCACTATAAATATGTGGAATTAATGAAATCAGATAGGACTGTGAGCAAATGGAGGGAGAAATATTGTGGGATGTAAGATATATCAACTGTGGGAATGATTTAAATCATATTTGGAAGAAGTTTCATAATCTATGGTCCTGATTTTAATTAACCATGGAAGTCTTGAGGGAAGACAGGAAAACTCCTTTAAAAAAAGTAAGATTTCTTTTCAGATCTGGCCAAAAACCAACATAGTCATATACACCTCCAGTATTACATTTGAGAATTATTATTCTGCATGGGTGTGAAAAAGATATTATAGCCTGCAATCTTATGAAAGGATGGAAAATTTGTTTATGATTTTTTTTTCTGAATTAAAAAATGTAGCTGTAATACAGTGACTACTTTTCCTACTTAGATAATATTAATTATCAACAGCACAAAGGAAATTCTTTTAGCTTTTTAAATGCATGCAACACATTTACATTCATTCATTTCTGATGCTTTACCCAACTAAAACTATGGGACAATTACTATGGTAACTGAGGAAGATGGATATGTATGAAAACTCATCTGGAGTGCACTAGCTTAGGGGAAGGTTGGTGTCAATGTGAGAGATGCTCAAATTGCAAATTGCAGTTATTGATACATCAGAAATGGCAAGAAACAAATGGAATAAGGGCCAACGTTACAACTTCTTTAATCCATCAAAGGATGTATCTTTTCAGGCTCAGGGACTATTTGGCCCAGAAGCATTTAATAAATCCAGCCTCAGCACATTAAAAAAAAGTTTCTCTTACTTGGATCCATAAAAATTGATAATAATCCCAATATACTCTGCATACAATTTCTGAGTATAGTTTAAAATTTCACAGGAATATAAAGACACATACAGCAATGGAATATCTGTAGCATAGAACGAAAATGTGGAATTTTTTTGAACTTTCAGAAAAGCGCTCTGGACTAAAAAATAGTATTAAATATTTTTACAGTGATAACAAAGTATTTCTTTCAGGTCTGTTGGAGGAGTATTTCCATCAAGCAATTCATTAAAAAAGAGTTAAGCAATAGTTCTTCATACTTATTTAGTAAAAATTGAGAGGAAACGACTTTCAAAGATTGATGTGGAAATTAAGATGTTTGTGTCGGAAGGTAACAAGTTTAATGCCATTGATTCTTCCATACCTCATTACCTACTGACCAAGAGGAAGCAGTAATGATTAAATAGAAAGTTAAGGACTTCATCTATGTCTGTTTTTGTTTTGTTTTGTTTTGTTTATTGCTCTGCTGATTCTTCATTTAAGAGATGATAATCTGAGGTCAAGTCTTTCTCCCTTTCTTACAGAATAGAATACATAATAACAGACTTGGAAGGGATCTTGGAGGTCTTCTTGTCTAACTGCTTAAATAGGAGACCCACAGGAGCACATATTCTTGGAATTTTTTTAGCTGCTAGGCTTTGTTTATTCTTATATTATTTATTAATATCTTTTCTGTTATAATTATACAACCTGCTTCACTGGTTGTCATTGCTCAGGTTAGATTCTCACCCTCAAGAATGCTCACAGCATGCAAAGAACACTATAAATTCCAATTGCTTGAAAATTTGAATCAGTAAAATCATAGGCTTTCTTCAGCTGCATGCCTATATAGTAGGATAAAGTCCAGTTGAATTCTCAAGGACTTGGTCAAGTTAGGCATAGAATAGCACTGAATGAATGAAATATGAAATATGTTAATGCTTATCTATGCTTCTAGCAAAGTAGTCTTTTGTCCTCTTAAAATCAATACATCACACTTTTATATCAAAAAGTCAACATATAGAAAATAAATAATTGAAGATCAATATCTAGCTTCAAAAACCCACCTGCAGTTAAAAATTCATTCTACAAGCAGATTTTTTACAAAAAGGAATATGAACAGTATCACAGTATGTAGGGCCTGGCATTTAGGCATAAAGGAGAGGAACTTTAGTCCAAGGAAATGAAATCTCAGCAGTAAATGCAGATCAGGGAACCAGATGGATGCTGCAGAGTGTCAGATTAGTTACTATTCACAAGAAGAAGACTAGAGTAA